TCTTTTCTGAAGCAACTTGATAGGATAGCTGATGTTTCCTGTCTGTTTATTCTCTTTTTGACTTCGCTGAACTTGGTGCATATAATCTTATCGACTAAGTCTATGGTGTCGTGTGAAAATAGATTCACTTGAAATCTTTTCCAACGGAAGTTGCTTTATCAATCCACCCAACAATCATACCTATTTTGTTGTACATTTAATTATTCAACCACAAATATCTTTTTCTTTTCTTCAATCTCTTCCCACTTAATTTACCACTTAATTTAAAGTTTAAACTTAAAATTTCTAACTTGACTCTTAATTCTTATCAATTAGGACACTAAAAGTAGATATCATTACTAGCTTTGGTTTTCTCTAAATGTGCCTTCCTAGCGGCTAAGCAAATTGTGCAACATTATGAATTTCATGTAAAGTTTCAAATTTTTTTCCAAGTTGCATTTACATTTTAGTCAGTCAAAGAAGGAAATTCCTTTCTCATAAACAAGCAAGGCACATGCAAAGAATGAGAGTGAGTTCTAAATTCAAGTCAGAAGCAGATTGGGTGAATTAAAAGATGAGAAAGAGTTGCTTCCATTGGTGAAAAACAATGAAAAAACAAAAAAAATACTATCTATGATTCTAACAAAAAAGTGAAGAGCAATCCATGCTTCTTATAACCATTGATGGAGGGGTGAACCCCATGATATTAGGATCCCACCTCTCAATCAAGGTTAAAATAAATGCAGTCCAGCAACACTCTCTTACAATTAAAATGATGTAGAAGTACAATGAGATTGCATATCCCCTACCAGTGTATCCCACTGATCTTTGCAGCACTGCATCACCAGTTTCCTCCGATGAGGATAAAGACATTAAGTAGGTGTTATCCATGTGAAGCTGAATTCCCAGTTATGTTACTATACCTCCCACAAGATATGTGATTGCATGTACGTTAATGCCAAAAAATAGGACCTCTCCTTTCGAAAACATATCTTTAGATGTAGATACCAGACAAAAAAAGTAGCCAGCTTGCAGCACGTTCAGTAAGTAAAAACAAAAGTGGAGAAGGGTTTGAAGTGGACTTTTAATTCTTGAAGGTGAATTAGTCATAAAACCTACCTCAAAGGCACCAGCCTAACAATCAGAGATTGGCACATGAATGTAATTATGCTTGCTCCTGGAAATCATTTTGCACCTGTCAAAATTCAGTCAGCCCTTTGCCCTCAGGTATCTGCTTACCACATTTCCTAGGGCATTAATCAATGCCTCTGGATCAAAAATTATGCCCACTTTAGGATCATGTATGGAGATGACAAGAACCTGCCAAGAACCCAACTTTATGCAGTTTGTGTAATAGAGAATAACAAATTCATGGATTAAAGCATTCATAGTGGAGAGATTTATAGTTCTAGAATTGTCCTAATTGCATTAGAACACCTTCCACATTTCACATAAAAAAGGACCCCATATTTAAGAGTTCTTTATGAAATGGCAGCCAAATTATCATTCAAACATTATTTAACAACAGCAAGAAACTTGTTTTTACATAAAATCTAAAAGGAAAAACTTACCAAATCTGATATTCTTTGTACAGGCAGGCATTTAACATCTATTGGAATTTCACTGTCTTTAGGCACCAAAATTGCATGATATAGTGACTTGGCTGTACAGAGAAACCAAACACAATAAATGAGATACTCATTCTTCCATTTACACCCATTACTTTATCATAATTTGGGAAAATGTTTGCAGACAATGAATATTTCAGAAACCTCAGTGATGCATACAAGAATGACTGTCTATATCTTTATTAGCAAAAACCATTAGGAAAAACACAGTACTATCAAAACTTGCTGTGGCTGTGATGAAAGACTACAATCCAATGTATTGACTCACAGTGTTCTTTAAACAATTATGAGGATCTCCATATGTCCAATTCAGAACATCTGCGATGGCAGTTACAAAACATGATGCAGAGAAGCCACTTGTCTCTCCATCATGTGTACCATTCAACAATGGTACCTAGGTTTGGAAGGTACAAAATCAATACAACAAAAGATGTCAAACTAACAAACAATAACAGAAGCCTTGAACGTTGTTCAGATAAATACATAAGAAAAACTTTATAACTTTGTGCATCAAACAGCAATAATTCAGAAAGATGTCCAAGTTATAGTGCTTGGGTTTTCTGGAAAGATCTTCTCCTATGTCAAGAAGAATTGCTTCACATTGGGGATTGGAGATTCTGCGTATAGCTTGATTTTAAGTATACTGTATTCTTGAATTGTTTCATTCTCTGTACTGAACTTGAATAGCAGCCTTAAAGACAAGTGCTGCTTTGTATATTTTTGAAGTTGGGTAATAAATTCACATTTTACCAAAAAAAAAAAAGGAGCAATACTTTGGTAGCTTAATAAGTAGGCACCTTACAACAGGACCTAGAGGAAATAATATCGCCAATGCCAAGTAAGACCTAAAAAATAAGCCAGAAAGAATGATGAAGCATTAGTTAACAAATTTCAGTCAACTAATATTTTCTGAGGAAAAGGGAAATACAAACATCAGATGAGTACCGATAAAATTGTATTATGATAAAGATCAAAAGACTCTTACCAGTGATGGGCAGACAGAAGAAAAGAGGGAACCCATAGCATACATGATACAGTCTACATTTCTTAACTGGTCCAGGACAGCTGGATTTGCTGATGGGAGGACCTGCTCAAGTAGAGCACTGAAATTATTCTTAGTTCTATGTCTCCAGATTTCTCAGCCACATATGCAACAAGTACAAAGCAGGAGATGTATTACTTGCCTCATGCAGCAGATTTCTTCCCTCACTTGACATGTAAAACACCCCCTTTATTCTTGAATGCAGACTGGGAACTGAAGACCTTGCCTACCCATAAGAATTTAGCACTTGCACTTCAAAATATGATAAAATTTATGTAACATTAAGCATCAGGAGTCTATAATGCAGATGAGAAACTCAACTTGTAGAACTGTTTCCATTCACTACTTTCCTAATAAAGACATGTCAATTTTTTAAGTGGGTGAATCAATTGGTGAACTTTTTTCAAAACTTTGAAATGACTATTAAACCTCAGAAGTCTTGACACATTACAGCAAGTGCCAATGTAAATCTCATCTGTAAAAAATTTTCCCTTGAGACAACAAGCTAATGAATTGTTGAGGAATATTTTTGAACAAATTAATTCAACAATTGTTGGATTGATTTAGATTGAGCCAAGTATTCTGTTTATTTGAAAGGTGAAACTAAACTTATTGACAATCATCACACTAATTTTAACAAACTTATTTGTGTACGGAGATAAAAAATTACCAAGAACGCCAACAATCTCTGCTGTGCTTCCTCCATCATCAGAAACAGGGAGAACATGTGCAACACGAGTTGTTTAACTTCTTAAGCTCTTCCACAACACCATTAAACGCAGTACCACCTGAAGCATCATTAAACTATCAATAAAAATAATATCTTTTGTTTCTCACAGTAGTAACGCACACTAGCAGTGGCAATTTTATGCATCAAATCCCATCTTAATTTCAACTAAGATACCTTAAAATAATAATAATAATAATAATAAAAGCTCAAAAAGCAGAATTTACCAAATAAATCACACAAGAATTAGGTCAAGAGCAGATTGGAGTAAAAAATTTTCCAACAGGAAAAGTTTGAAATCTTAAATCCACCGTCCAACGAGCATTTAATGCGTCAATATTTCGACTATACCTGAGAAGACGAGCAAGGAAGGCTGCGTGGGTCTAGGGTTGGAGGAGCGATGGTAATGTGCAGCCATGGACTTGGAGGAAAATCGGAGCTGTAAATTGGGGCTTCGGAGGAAAAAGAAAGGGGAAGGAGAAGGAGAAGGAGAAGGGGGTCTACATAAAACGGGCCCCAAACAACAGTCCGCCATGTTCCCGCGATTTCCGAAGCTTTCCTTTTCTATAAATACCACGAGGAAAAAATAACAATAATAATAATATTAATATCAACATTAAAAATATCAATATATTTAATAATAGTTATATAATAATTTTAATAAAATTAAATTTTACACTATATTTTATATATTTAATGGGTATAATTGAACATTATAAGATTTTTAATAACGGAACATACTAATTTTTTCTTTTTTTATAATAATAAATCCTTACAAAAAAAAGAGCTCTATTTTTCATGATTTCCTTTTTAAAAAAAATATGGACTTTGTTTTTCATGAATGAATGAAATGAAAATTTAAAATTTAATCAATTCTTATTATTTCTTTTCAAAGAACCATTTTTTTTTTAATGTATCCAGAGTAAGTGATTATTATAGTTATTCAATTTAATTCCATTAACTCCCAATTCTACAGTAAAGACTACAATTTCAGATTGGAAAAAGAAAGAAAAACGAAAATTGATTAAGGATTATAAACATGGAAAATGGAAAAAATACACAATCTCTGGTAAAAGCATGAACCAACCACAATAACAAGAGAATTAAAATCTCGCACTCAACAAGAGGAATTTTCTGACCTAAAAAGAGAAGAAAAGACCACCCCCCCCCCCCCCCAAAAAAAAAAAAACGATTTCCTCAAGGTTTAATGAGTTCTTTATCCTCTCATCTATGTAAAAGCATGTGTTCTATCCTTATTAGCTTAATCTAGCCTTGCAGAGGTCATAAAGCTGGTGCAGTTTCAGCACTCAAGTAATCTGCGGAGAAGTTCTCTAAATAATCTCCCAATCAGAACCAGAAAACTCCTGCTCTGGTGCTTCTGATTCGACGATGAGAAAAGATTGTTCAAAGCTGTTTCCTTTCTGTTGATTGGATCCCACATTAAGATTCCCATCCTTGTGAAAATTGGCCAAGGGCCGCTTTCTTATCCTCATTTTTGTAGGAGAGGCACCCTTAATAAGTTTAATCCATAATAACAAAGAAAATATGTCAGGTTCAATAAAATGCTTGAAAAGTAGCATAATTCATCTCTAATGAACATAATCCACACCATGCTTCAAGGATTATTGTTGAACAAATGCAAGCAACTAAAGTTTACTCGGGAAAATGTTGTAAAGAAATAAAGAAAAGTACCTTGTAAAACTTGCATCTTCCTGCTTCAGAGTAGAGAGACTGAAGCAAACTACTATCTACAATAATACAACTTTCTTCAAGATTCAGTTCTGACTTGTCAACAACATTATGACTGGCTTCTTCTGCAATAAAATTGTTTTCCCATAAAATTGTAAACAAACATGTATAATGCCCTCTAAGACACTTAACAACCTCAAACGACAAATGAAGTCAAGGTTCTGGGAACATTAATTGTCAACAGAAATAAGAAATTTGTTGCAAAAAAAGGAAACAAGGAAACAAAGTAATGTCCATTTACGATCTTCTGAAAATGACGACTGCTGATTCAACAAATTCATTATAGAAGTCAATACTGTCTTGACTCCATGGCACTAACTGGATAACATAAACTTTGCATGTTTCTGGGCCAAATAACATTGGAATCAACAAAATGCAAATGACGCTTAGAAGAAAAGCACACATACCAAAGAAATGAAATACTTACCACTTGATTCTCCCACAGAATTGTCAAGAGTAAAACCAGTATCTGGAAGTTGAGCCTTACAGGATTGAATCAAAGTTTCAGAAATAGAAGATGCTGTGGAGCTTGAACTGGAAGCTGAGCAACTACCCTCTCCTGTTTCCATAAAAGACTTGCATACTGCCTTCTGCTGAATTTCTTCCTCCTTGATAAGATCTTCATTTCCATTGATACTGAGCTTTAACTTTCTTAAGGTTCCACTACCAGAAGTTTTCTCAGAAGATGAACTAGAATCAGGGACCTCCACAAAGTCAACCAAAGTTGAATGACGCAGCTCCTTCTCAGAGTGGTCTTCCTCAACATCTACATCTGAATTGTCATGGTCTGTGACACTAGCATCAGCTCCTCCAACCACAGGTCCATCATCTTCCACTGTACCCCGATGAGATGAATGAAGGAGCTCCTTCTTGGAATGATCTTCCTCAACATCAATAACTGAATTGTCATCATTTGTGACATCAGCATCAACTGCAACCATAAGTTCACAATCTTCCACTGAACCCTGTGGAGATGAAGGAAGGACATCTTCCATGAGTGCTGAAAAGAATTGTTGAACTTCCTGCACTGTTTCTTGAAAAAGTCCTGATGCTTCCTGTTCAAGAATGCCATCAATCTATTAGACAGAAATTAGCAGCACCAGAAGATGTCATCATGATTAGAGATGATAAAAGCAGCCAATGACATGCATTCCACTTTGAAATTTTGGCAGTTAAGATAGTATGTCAGATATTATTTTAAGCAATATTTTATGCAAGAAAATAATCAAAATTAATCCATACCAGACGGATACTTTCTGCTTCCACACACACAGCTTCAAGCCTCCTGCATAAGTTGCCCGCCCAGGTAATACCTTTTATTCCTTTATCCATATTGAACAAAGTGTCTATGCTGCTTTTCAAACACAGAAGCAGGATTAATGCCTTGACTTCCCCCACTCAAAGTGCCACATAAACTGCAATCATTCAGATTAATGGGAAGTCAAGACTCATGCAATAACATTTAAGTTGGAGAAGCATTATGTCCAAATAAAACCAAGTTATGTGCCATCAATGAGTCAAAAAGGTATTGAAACAAAGCTAAGGAGATACAGTACTTCAAGAAAAAAAAGCACGGCAAACATTACTGCCAGTGTATTAACTAGCCTCAACCATAACAAAAGCAACCATTTCAATTCCACATTCATGAAGATTAAAATTGCTCAGAAACCTTAAGTTAGTAAAAAAGTTTAAACACTGTTAAGCTGCAGACTAAGAAAAATATTTCCATCAGTAGCAATTTCCAACAAAAAAGTTTGGCCATCAGTAAAGCAAATTGTGATGTGAAAACCACACAGTTAACTCCAGGTGGCATAATGATATGATCTATATATGATGATCGTGGCACAAGTGCAACCTATTGAGCTTCCTAAAAGCAAACAAAAATGAGGGCAAAGTTTCTGAAGTAGATGCACTAAAACAGAAATTAGGATATCAGCACATAAGAAACAGTTACATGCCCACAGAACCAAAAAAAAAAAAAAGTTACATGCCCCTTCAATTAAAATTTATTTTAATGTGCTGCAAATCCTTATTGCAATTTTAAGTTTCTTGTAAAAGCTAAAAGTCCATACAATTTATCCCTGCAACTCAATGCCGTTTAAACCAACAAATTGATATTGCAGAAAAACCAAAAGACACATTAGATGAAAACTTTCAGGGAATGATCTCAATTTAACTAGAAGCGTTCCTAATTCCAAACTCATACTAAAAATTGGATTTGTCCAAGAACAGCGTGATCATAAGCCTTAGGTTATTGTCAATTTCAGGCAATAATTTAGAATTTGATGAGTATCAAAATTGAAAAAGAAACAAAACAAGAAGATCAGCATACAGTGTGAAGAAGTAGCAATTTTTAAAAGAACATCATTCAGACGATCAACATGCAGAAAGCACTTCAAGAGCTATAACAAAATAGTATAAATTAACAGATGACTCTTGTCTTGTGATCAACCATGAGGATCATCAATGCAGGGGGGCAAGAAATACAGAAAAAGAAAACCCAGAAAAATCATGAACCCAAAAAAAAAAAAAAAATCGAAACTTTGGATACCCATTAGAGATTTCAATCACTTACAGGTTTGAGGGGATGATGAACAACAGCTTAAACCCTGGTAGAATAAAAAGGGAAAATAGAACCCACTTCAGTTATCCCTTAAAATACCAAAAGAAACTAAAATTATTTGTTAAAAACAGAGAGAAGAAGGTTTGGACGGTGAAGATGCTATCTGTCCCCACCAAGAAACGAGAGTTAGGTGAGCGTCGAACACAGAGAAGGTAAAGGGGAGTGGGAAAGAGCAGTAGATGTTGCCACGTACTCTCTGTTTCCTACTTGGAGAAGGATTTTTCTCTGGATAAAATTATTCTTGTACCATAATTGTCATTCTCGGGCTTCGGTTGGCCACAGCTACAGGACTTACCCATCCCCCTTTCCACCCTTGCTTTGTTAAAGTTAAAATCTGTGTTTTTGTATCCGGTCCGGTGGCTTTGTATCCGGTCTGGTGGTTGACTCATTTTGACCATCAAATCTAGTTCAATTGGTTGAATTGGTTCACTCGTTCAGTTCAACCAATTAACTAAAAAACATTTTTTTTACATTTTTACTAGAGTTTACATTTATATCAAAATCTGTTGGTGGAACCATGGAAGAAGGTGAGGACGATGACTGGCAGAGGTGAGAGGCAGATGTAAATGCAAATTTGTTGTGTTAGTGGAAGAAGGAGAGGAAGGGCAGCGGCGAAGGGCTGAGATCAAGGGAGACAGTTGTGGAGTCGCCAACAGTTAAGATCAGGAAGGTAGTTGGCCGACGGTGACTTCGCTGCTCTGTTTTCTTTCTGCTTTCTGGCTGCTTCTGCACAGAGATGAACTTCACGACTTCGCTGCTCTAATGAAAGGCTTGCTTTCTAGTTTTGCTTCTACACAGAGACAAAGGATCGGAAGCCGTAGACGAAGGTGGCTGAGATCGGGCAGGGAAAGGCCTGCAGTGGTGACTGGTGCATGGAACTGGTGGTCTGGTGGTGTTGTTCTTCTCTTCCCTTGCTCTTTTTTGTTTCTGATTTCTTTTGGTTGGCTTTTGCAATTTGCAATGAAATAGGAATACTCGATCCTCTGAGAGTTTTGTTTTTTTAATTGATGTAAGATTTTAATTTTTAATTAAAGTTAATGGTGTGGGTAATTATATTAAAAATCAAAAAAATTAATTTAATTAATATTAAGTCATTAAAAACCCAAATTCCTTCAGCCCAACGGGTTAGGTGGTTTCAGCGGGTCGAGCGGGCACCAACAGGCTAAAACGGGTGAACTTGCAAAATGAGCTAAGGTACGGGCCCAACCCGTTTTCAAGCTCAGGTCTGGTTCAACCGGTTCAACTGGTCAGGTCAAACCGAGCCGATCCAAAAACACTGGTTAAAATGTCAAAAAGCTAAGGTTAAAATATTAATTTGGTTCCTTAACTTTTAAATTAATATCAAAATTTTCCTTTAATTTTAAAAAAGTATCAAAATTATCTTGAACTTTAATTTTCAATACCAACATAGCTCTTAAACTTTGAAGAAAGTACCAACTTAATCCTTAAATTTTGAAGACAAATATCAATTTGGTTTTTCAACTTTAATTACATGTTAATATGATGTGTAAACAGAAATATATCATTAACCATGATAATAAAATATGGTTATTTGATTTTATACATTATTAGTATTTGAAAAAAAAAACTAATTTTATGGTAAAATAATGAGTCATGTAGCACTTCTATTAATGGAATGACTATTTTGGTATCAAAAATTAAAGTGTAGGGACAATTTTTGCTATTTTTTCAAATTAAGGACAATTTTAATATAAATTTGAAAATTAAGAAACCAAATTAATATTTTAATAAAAGGCTAATGCTTAGTTTTATGAGAAAATATAGT